AATTTAAAATTTAAAAAAGATTAATTCAAAGTTGAAAAGGGTTATTTTGAAATTATCAAAGGTTAATTTGAAGTTAAAAAGGGTTACTTTGATTTTAAAAAAGGTTACTTTGGTTTAAAAAATTTAATTTAAAGTTAAGATTTTTAATTTGAATTTTTAAAAAAGGACAATGTAAAATTTAAAATGGTAAATTTTACGATGGAATGCTGTTGGGAAGAACGACACCGTCAGCTGCCCGTTCCTCGTTTCGAGCCTATTCCCTGTTCCACTGTTCGGCTACTTTTAGTCGAATTTGTTTTAGTAAAGACAGTGGCTTTTTGTTGTCAGATTGAAGAAAGACATCGTTGGCAATTTGATACACCAGTTCGTTTCCAAGGGTACCCACGTGATTTCGCCCATGTGAAACGGACTGCCCAGTGCATACTGTTTTGTAGACCATGTAAATAAAACGCACCAAGCATATCCCATGCCTTCAACACTCTTCTAAACCTTTAGCCTTATTTTTCAGAATTGCAGGGTAAAGAATATGGGATTTACTTCCCCGGTCCATGGCATCTTAGTTTTTAAAAACGACATGAATCATCTTCTTTTCTTCCCTCTTCCTTTTCTTTTTCCCGTTTCCTTTTTTTCTCTTTCTGCTTTTCTTTCATAATATGGTTTCATCATTCGATTATAAATAATTAATATTTAAAAAATATATTATTGTCATTATTGCTTTGTATATTTTTTTATATGTTTTATTATTATTATAAAACTTAATTTATTTCTAATATAAGTACAAGTAAGGGGGCATAAATCGCAATTTGTACCTTTAAATAAATTTAAAAAAACGAAGTTTTATTTCTAATTTTTAAATTTTAGTGTAGTCTAGTGGTAAATATTTACAAATTATCAATGATATTTTGTTACATTTTTATCAAATATTCATTTAAATCATTTTTAACCCAGATTGAGTGGCGTGGCAGATGCCTGGCAGGCAAAGCCAAAAAACCTGGATTGAGATTGGGGTGAAAAATTGCTTTATGGCGTGTTTCCTAATTTCTGTGAATCACAGGGCCTTCCTTCTTTTCCCAAATACTTCCAAGGGACTTACCTACTATCAAAGATGATAATCAAAGTCAGTCCTGGAATCTTCGTTGTGGGAGCAGGTCGCGAATTGTCCTGGGGTATCTTTCGCCTCATTGTTCAGTTAACGGCTTTTTCCCTAATCTGTTCGATCTCCGCGTGTCTTTGCTCTGTTTTTACTGTTTTCAAAGTTGAAAAAAAGGGCGATGCTGCAAGTACTATGATCTTGAAGACATTAGGCCTATTTTAGAAAAACTGGAGAATGAGAAAGAAGAAAAATTTGGCAAATGGTAGCCGTTCGGAAGATGAAGAAGAAGAATGAGAAGCTTCAGATTCTAATTACTTTTTTATTACACGGGATGGTGAACTGGTAACTTTTTCTAAATCATCTTCTCCTGTGAGAAACCCAAATTTGTTTGGGGGTAACGAAGTTTGATATATCAGATCGCTTTAGTGTGTTGGAATGTAAATTTGAATTGTTGTAAAAAGGCGGAACATGCGCACTAACGCCTGTTCGTGTAAAAGTTATACTTGTAAGACCTGTAGTCACGTGGATGTTTCGTTAAATTAAGACTGTAAAATTAATATCTTTTCTAAAACACTTTTTCTTTTATTCCTTTATCATACATAGTGAACATGCAAATGAGGATAAGCCTATATTCAAAGCTGCTTTGTCAGTGTTTGGAAAATTCTTTTCTGAGTTATTGCATTCCATTGAGGAGGTTTCCCGGCTTGAGGAACGGATGGTTGTACCTTAATTTTCCTTTGTTATATTTCGTTTTTCACTGCTGACAGTTGATTTTTTTGAGTTTGCTGGTAAATTAACAGCGGTGCCTAGTTTTTCATTGAATATGATTTGATGTATTTCGCCCAACACCACACGGGTAGGGTAAAAGAATTTAATAAACAATATCACTAAAGCTGATTTATTAGTGAAATTAAAAAGAAAATGAAATAAATTTTGCGATTTGAGGAGGAAGAATGTATAGAAAACAACCAAACATATGTTTAAAAAAATCCAATCAATGCGCCGCGTCCTTGATCACAAGGTTTAACCCCATCGAGACCAGATGGGAGTTTAAAGTAATGACGATTGTAATTCAATTCTGACCAATGCTACGAGAAAAAAAAGATTTTTATTTATAAAGTAGAATGCTAAAAACAACACAAAAATCATTTGCAAGGGCGGTAACCTGGCTCCTCCTTTATAAATAGAAAAAAAACGCATCAGACATATCGTATACGTAAACTTATTAAATAAATGTTTCAACTATGCATTTTTAATTTTATTTTGATAAGTTAGTTAGGTTAATATGATAACAATCTAAGAGTTCTATTTTCGCCAGCTTTGGGTGAGACAAGAGAAAAAAAACCGCCAGTCCTAAAACGGAAAGTTCCAAAACCGTTCGTAACACTTCGCGGTGGTTCGCTGGGTGATTAACGGTCGATGATTTTACTTCAAGTTTGCATAAATCACGAGTTGCCAGGATTTAGTTGGCCGGTTGTTCTCAACCGCCTGTACGGGATGGACGTCAGGATTTGTGGGCCAAGAGGTAGGGAGGTAGAAATGTGGGTACGCCAGGGCTGTTTAGAGGGCTTGCGGCTTGCCAATTGCCTGGAACTGCTAATCACCTCGCCTTTGCCACCTTTCTCTACCATTTCCGGCTGGTATTAAAGCCCATTTTTATTTCACGGTATTGAGCTGATAGTGTTTTCATTCGTAAACGATTTACTTAGAAAATAAATGAGTAAAGCCTTTCCAACGGATAATAGATATTGTATAAATCTAGTAAAGCAATTTAATATATAAGTCAAAAAATATTTTGGCACACCTCACTTTCTTCCTAAATCTCAAAAATACAAAGGTTAATTGCTTTATGCCAGTTTATTTAAAAACTAGCAGCCATCTATTAATTTTTGGTGGTAATAAATTGAAGGAATAAAAAAAAATATATACACATAAATAATAGTGTGAATTTCAAAGGATAAAAACGTCATGGCATAGCTTTTTCTTGCTTCATTTCCAATTGTACTATGTAATGTGTTATCCTTAACATACACGCGTTTTCTTCAAGGGGAAGTCAATAATTACATATAATGACTAAATTTTCACTTATGACCGAAAATATAGAATAATAAATACAAAACCCTTCCTTAGAAATATGATAGGAATAAAGCGTTATTATATTAACCACAAGAACGATCAGGTGGTCAGACAGTATTTAAATTTTGGCGGGTCGACAGTGGTCCCGCGATCAATTTTTCAACTTATCGAGTTGTATAATAAAAATCGAACCTTTTGTTTAAAATAAAACCTACAATAAAAACAAACACTTAGAGAACGTTTGTATATGCTATTGTTTATTTAACACGTGGAGAAATTGCAAAATTTTCTAACTGCGTATTAAGTCGACAATGCCACGATCTAGGCAACCGGTGGTGGGGTAGGGATAGCCTCGGCTTTCCTCAGTTATCGCCCGGCGGCCACACGGTTAACATCGTCTCTCGTCGACTGAACAGTTCGAGATTATTACTTATTCTCCATTCACGGGAATGTTGAGGAATTATTGTTGAATCTCCATTCTTATGAATGTTGAGTATTATTTATGCTTCATCGTCGAGTGATACTTGCGGAAATTATATTCGTCTGTATGTTGACTGATTATATTAATCTCCATTCCTTGGAATGTTGAGACTTTATTTCTTTATCTCCATTCCTTGGAATGTTGAGACTTTATTTCTATATCTCCATTTCCTAGAATGTTGAGAAATGATTACTGAAATTACATTCGTAGTTATTGAAACTCCATTCTGATGTATGTTGAGTGATGATTTATGCTCTATTAGTTCGAATGCTGATTGATTATTCTCCATTCGTAAGAATGTTGAGCCGTTATTACTGAAATTCCATCGATAGAAATGATAAATGGTGGAATGAGTTTGTAGATAATCTTTATAAAAAGATAGTTCCTACTCACTTACTTGCCGTGATTAGGGACTATTTTCTTTATAAATTCCATTTGTGCCCGAACATTGTAGCCTCGATTCATACGGGTATTGAGTTGTCATTTATTCTCTATTAGTTTGAGTTGTCAGTATTATTGAAATTAAAAGAAAAATAAATATTAATATCACTATGAGGGTTACTATCTAAAAGTTGGCGAATAGGTTAAACCTTCGATCAAGCACGTGCTCTACTAAAAGCACGAGTTAACAAGGAGGCATTAATTTAATTTTTCTTTATTCATATTGAAATTACTGTAATAATAATTAATAAAACAAATTAATTTAAAATCGTTCGTCGTCCCGACATGTAACCTATAATGGCCACGTGGACTCCCCTCCACAAACGAAATGCCTAATTTGCCAGTCGATCGAGTGAAAAATGGCGTCTACTTTGAACTGTTCGTCAAAACACTGGGTGTAATAAGGCCAGTTTCAGTCCGATTTTTAACCAAATCAAATTGTTTTGTTTAAAATAAATTTCGCATTTGATTATAAACGGCCTGTTATACACGGGCCTTCTGGATATAGCTTTGTTATTTTTCCGGAAATTCCGTTAAATAATTTCGGGTAATTAATCCGTTTTTCTAGTATATGATGACGTGCGTTTTGGTCTGGGTCTGCATGTCGTGGAATGGTGTTAGAAAACTAATTTCGATCGAAGCTATTATGCATGCAGACCGTTACGTTGCCTTCTCGATCTCGGTCACTGACTCTGTTTTAATGATGCGATATATTAAAAAATAATATGCTCATGATATGCGCTTCTATTTACAGTTGAACATGAAAAACTTTCGTTGCAACGAAATTTCGGAGAATTAAAGGCTAAAGAGTATGGAAAAATAACCCTTTGCGGTCACAAAGTTGCACTTACCCCACGCGTGGATCATTCAGAATTTTCAAGCATATCAATTTCGACCATTTTGTTCGGAACATTTAAGATATGTATCCATAAATAAAAGTATCCTATTTGCAAGTAAAAGGTGGCTGGGTATTCAATCGTGGAACTCCGAACAAAAACGTCAGAAATTACGTTTTTTTCATAGTTTATATTAATTATACACCTTTTGAAACCGGTGGGCAATGATTCGGCCCTGAAAATTAAACACCATAGGTATTTATGGAAAAACTGATCCACGGTTGGGAAAAACATACACGCGTTTTCTTCAAGAGGAAGTCAAGAATTACAAATAATGACTAAATTTCCACATAAGACCGAAAATATGGGATAATAAATAGAAAATTCTTCCGTACAGACGAAATTTGATAAGAATAAAGCGTTATTATATTAAGACATGAACGACCACGTGGCCAGATTGCATTTAAATTTCGCGGGTCGACAGTGGTCCCGCGATCAAGTTTTCAACTTCGAACGTCGACAATGCCACGATCTAGGCAACCGGTGGTGGGGTAGGGATAGCTTCGGCTTTCCTCAGTGGTCGCCCGGCGGCCACTCCGTGCACATCGTCTCCCGTCAACTGGACAGTTCGAGATTATTACTTATTCTCCATTCCCGGGTATGTTGAGAAATTATTGCTGAATCTCCATTCTTATGAATGTTGAGTTATATTTATGTTTCATCGTCGAGCGATGCTTGCGGAAATTATATATGTCTGTATTTTGACTGATTATATTAATCTCCATTTGTAAGAATGTTGAGCCGTTATTACTGAAAATCCATCGATAGATATGATAAATGGTGGAATGAGTTTGTTGATAATCTTTATAAAAAGATAGTTCCTACCCACAATTACGACTACTACTTACTAGCCGTGATTAGGAACTATTTTCTTTCTACATTCCATTTGTGCCCGAACATTGTAGCCTCGATTCATTCGGGTGTTGAGTTGTCAATTATTCTCTATTAGTTTGAGTTGTGAGTATTATTGAAATTAAAAGAAAAGTAAATATTAATGACATTACGAGGCTTACTATATAAAAGTTGGCGAATAGATTAAACCTTCGATCAAGCACNGGTCAGACAGCTTTTAAATTTCGCGGGTCGACAGTGGTCCCGCGATCAAGTTTTCAACTTCGTACGTCGACAGTGCCACGATCTAGGCAACCGGTGGTGGGGTAGGGATAGCCTCGGCTTTCCTCAGTTATCGCCCGGCGGCCACACGGTTAACATCGTCTCTCGTCGACTGAACAGTTCGAGATTATTACTTATTCTCCATTCCCGGGAATGTTGAGAAATTATTGCTGAATCTCCATTCTTATGAATGTTGAGTTTTATTTATGTTTCCTCGTCGAGCGATACCTGCGGAAATTATATTTGTCTGTATTTTGACTGTTTATATTAATCTCCATTCCTGGGAATGTTGAGACTTTATATCTACACATCTATTGCATAATGCGAAATTATTACTGAAATTGCATTCGTCGTTATATTTACATATTATGCAAGTTCCGTGCGTTGGAATTTTATATGTTGAGATATATATGCTATATTCGTCGTCCCGACACATAACCTATAACGGCCACGTGGGCTCCCTTCCACAAACAAAATGCCTAATTTGCCAGTCGATCTAGTGAAAAAAATGGCGTCTACTTTGTACTATTCATCAAAATACTGAGCGTAAACAAGGCCAGTTTCATTTAAATATTACACCAAACAAAATCGTTGCAGTTGAAGCTGTTTTTGTCGCAACTTTTATAATTTAGAATCTGTGAACAAACGTTATAGCGTAACTAAATAAATAACCCTTAAACTAAACCCTTTGAGGCCATTGTGATAGCTGGTAGTCGGAATCCAAGTTGGATACATTCGATGCAAGAAATAAATGCATTGGAGTAATGAAGCATGAATATAAGCAATGAATTGGAGCAAAGTCCATGACAACAATGCCCACTTTCTAATTTCATGGTCGGATACATTAATGCAGAATCAGTGCGTTAATGTTGATTATACCCAAATGCCCTTAGTATCAATTGAAATCGTATTTCCTCGTAAATTTGACTTAGCGTGTAAGATCTATTCATTGATGCAGTTTTTACAACATGTTTTTGTATTTTTTAATAAAAAACCCAGATATGTTCAATACTATCAATCGTCAGGCCTTTTTGATGCCTGAGAGATTAACAAGGTATAAACGTACATATTGACATTGGAAGAAATTTATGTAAATTGATTTACACGAGTCACGCAATTTGTCCCTGTCTGTTTGGACTGTTTGAAGACAAAAATTAGTGAACAGAACGTGTAAACTAACAAACTAAACCGTGTAAAAATCATAGAGCAGTGTCATTTTACACATGCTACATAAACATTGTTCTGTGTTTCATCATATGTAGTAAGGAAGTATCATTTCTAAAAAAAAGAAAATGAGTCAAATTCATTTAGTAAAGATGATTAAGTTAAGTATTAATTACCTTACATGTTACATATTTACAATAAATATGTAACATGTAAAATTACCGTTAAATACATAAAAATTACCGTTTCCTCAACAATAGAAGAAATAGCGCTGTTTTTTTATTACAAACATTTTTATTACTAATATACATTTACATTTTTAAAAAATGGCATCGGGCTCGCAGATCCTATAATTGCAAGAACATTTTTCCGTTTCCTGGGTGCCAGCAGTGCGCTTGCCATAAAGTTAGTAAGCCAAAGTCAGTCTACGCAACCCTCTTATTTACCAGTTGTTGATGAGCTGTATTATCGTTAAAGCTGGCTCGTGCAGTTGTGAGCGAAAAAAGAATTATGATGCAGGAGGGTTGCTTTCGTTGACAACTTGCACTATCAGTGATTGTGGGATTGCTCAGCGTGTCAGTTTAATCCGATAGAGGACCTGGTTACATTATGGGTGGTTGTTTGGAAGATGGAAGCATTGTCGAAGTTGTGGTGGCTGCCAGTATCCGCCTGGTTGAAAGTTAGTAAGCCAGGCAGTCACCACAATTTCTTATCTGCATTACAATTATAAATATTATCGTTTTAGTAACGTACCTTTTGACTTATTGTGAAGTTTATTTTTATTAAAGAGTTTGTCAACCAAACGTATTAGTTTATATTAACATTTTAAATATTTTTTAGTGCCCAAACTCACAATTTACGTGATTTCGCTGGCTCTTTAGCAGAGAACTATAAGATATTGAGGGATGCGAGTGAACAGGGTTAAGTGGAAATTATTAATTAACCCATCCATTCCTGATTTTTGGATTTTACAATTAAAGAATTAGATTATTAAGATAACGCCCGTGATGAACGTTAGTCCACATTTCTACATTAAAGTTAGAGATAATTTTTTAACAACTGAGCCTATGAGTGCTATCTGTTGAAAGGACGTGGTTGTTCGTGTCCTTATCGCAATGCAATGAGTTACTTGTGTTGACAGGTTGCTCAATTAATGATTTCTCATCGACAATCTGGTGTCAGCCGATTGTGAGCTCTTGCTCCTCATATAAAAAGCTTTGTCTGCTATTTCAAAGGCGGAAGCATGACGGAGATGTGGTGACTGCCAGTGGTGTGCTTAGTTAAGTTTGTAAGTCACAGGCAGTCACTATTAATCTCTTATCTAAAATTAAAATTAATGAATGCTTTTATGGTAAATGATCCTTTAACGCAAGATTCCTATTGTGAATACTTCTTCAATTTTACATTGCATATAACTTTTTAAACCCTCACCATTTTTAGAAAGACCATGACGTACGTGCGACTCGTATTTGCCACAAACGTTTCTGGGTTCGAATCCCGGCGCAGCCCATTGAATTTCAATTGATCGTAATTATAAAAAAGTATTGTAAAGTGGTTCTGTCCTCCAGTTTGTTGGACGCTAACCCTCATGCATGACAAGAATTACTTTACTTTTACTTTCTTAACCCAAATTAATGAAAAATTATGTACATACACCCAAAAAAGACAGCAAAATATTTACTTCTTAATAAAAAGTTAACCAAGCCAAATTTTATATAAACAGATTTTGTAGTAAAACATATTTCAATTTATATTGATTACATTGTTGGGATTGATCCAAAATTTTAACGATCTTTAAACTGGTTTTAGCGTTTCAAATGCTGGGGCATAAATGTACTAGAAGCTTTCTTTCTATATGCAGGAACAGGTATAAATCTCCTTTGCTCCTAGCAGTACCTTCTTCAGATTAGTTGGAATCTAATATACAGGGTGTCGATTTACTAATGCCCCTTGGTATTTTCAACTTAGACCGTTTTAACAAACGTTTCAAACATTGATATAATTACATTTTGCAACTCTCAGATTCGTTCGCCCTTAAGTAAAATAGACTAAAACAATCATTCAGAGAAATACCAAAAATAACGCGTTAAATCATAGTCTGCAGCAAAAAAGGCAAAAATGGTTTAACACAATATCAGAAACATTTATTTGTTTTTCTCATTTTGCAAATATTTAGTTACGAAAATCAACGTAAATTTAAAATGAAAAGAAAGTGATAACGAGAAAATCATCTTTTTCCCAGTTCAAGAAGGCCGACTGACGTTTTGCCACAACCCATTCTTCCCATAACCGCCGGTTCCACCGTGCAGAATGCACGCCTTTTTTCATTTGTCTTTTAAAAAAATCTGTCCTTTGCCTTGTCTTGATGTTTCTCAAGGTTGGGGGACTATTCCGGAAGAGTCTCGATCCCACAATCTCTATATATGTGTGGGCAAAGACCTCGTCGGGCAATCGTTATCGTCGGGGATCGTTATCCAGTAATGCCAAGAGGCTCATAGTTTCCAAAAGTAATGGTTATACGAAGTGGGTCAAGTGCACCACTACATGACTGTTAAGAAGATTGTGTTTATTTTAACCTAATCTTCTTTGCTATAACATACCAAATCCTGCTCTTTTACTTGTTTTTTCATGGTTATTCATATAGATGTATTACTTTTCTTTTTCGACTTTAAACTTTTAAACAAAAAGTGTCTATAGGATATACAAACTTCTGGAAATACCATGGTGCATCCACAAGGATTGCTTTTTCAAGAAGTTTGTTTTTCCTCTTTTACGAGTATGAACAGACGAGGAGTCTCATTATAAAAGTATTGTACTTACTATCTAATTGCCAAAAAGTTGCGACATATAAATAAATTCAATCGAGTATAATTTTACCTCACTCTTTTCAAGAATTCTAAGTCATGAAAAATTCATCAGCTAATTTACTTTAAATCCTACTAGTGTTAAATTTGTATAACTGCTAAATCTCTCTTTAACACTTGAGATGGCAAGTTTAACGGCTGGTTTTACATTGTTCTTGTCGTAAACCAAGGATAAACTTATTACTGTTCACAAAGAGGTTAATTAATTTGGTTTGACCTAGCGCTTTTCTTCGTCCTTATGGTCCTTTTCTCCCCTAGTCCTTTACATTTAACACTACTGCATGCTGGACTTAGCACTGCTACGACTTAATCCTCCTGAGGGCAAACATCAGTTGAGATCCTTGCGCTTTAATCCATTATAACCTTCGCGAAAGAGTTTTTAAGTAAATTTATTACTGGGAATTAATCCTTTTATCTTCCACGGTTCACCACGTGTCGTTACGACTGTGGAAAAAAG